ATTACTATCAAAGGATTCAGTACAATGAGATATAGAATCTGTCAGATATGAAGTATTACAACTGTTTGTTGCAGGATAACTATAACTAGAACTACAAGAGGGGAGAGACTTGGACAATTGAGGAGCAGCAGGATTGGGAAACTTATAGAGGCCATCAGCACCAACAAGACCACTGAGTAAAACTTCAGAAGTAGCCTGAGATTTGACAACACAAAACTTAGGATGAAATTCAAAAAACACAGCATTATCTTGAGCAAATTTACTCACACTCATAAGATTTTTGGTGATGTGAGGGACATGTAAGAGATTTCTAAGGGTGAGAGATAGGTGAGGTTTCTGAGGTAAGGGAAAAGACATAGAACCTACAGAGTTGATAGACAAACCTTGGCCGTTACCTATGAAGACTTGTTCAGTTCCAGGCACAGAGGCAGAGTCAGACACATTAGAGGCATCAGGAGTAACATGATGAGAAGCTCCTGAGTCAGGATACCACCATTGATTTGCGCTACTAGCTTCAGTACCTGCATAAAAGGCTTGTGGTGCAGAAGATCTAGGAGGTGCAGCTCTGGGAGAAGGATAAGCAAACTGCACAGGATAAACAGCACGAGGAGCCACAAGGAAAGGATTGAAGGGAGCACGTTGTTGTGGATAACTAGCACCACTGGAATTTGCATAACGATAGTAGCATACTGAAGCATCATGACCAGGTTAGTGACAAATCTGACATGTTGATTTTCCAAAACGACCTCCACCACGGCCAAAACGACCACCGCCACGACCAGAACGACCACCACGTGCGCCATAGGAATGATTTTCAGCATTAGCTGTGACATGACTCGTTCCTTGAGGAAATGCCTCCGAGACGACTTGATCGGAGGCGACCGGAGTAGGGGAAGGTGTTGCCTGAGTAAGATTGACCGTCACCGGTTCCGCAATCGCAGCTTTGCGATGCTTCTCCAATCGCGACTCATGAGCAAGCAAGGAAGACTCCAATTCTTCCAAGGAGCTTACGTCATCTTTGCTATTAACGGCGGCGACGATAGAATCATAATCCTCAGGTAGCGAATCAAGAACGATCTCAATTAGGTTACGAAGAGGAACAGGATCACCGATGGAGGTTAGCGACTCACTGATCTCACGTGAACGCGTCATAAGCTCAGCAATCGTCAGTGAACCCTTCGTAAGACGCCGGAGCTCTGATCGGAGTTGACGAGCCTTGGTGGAGAGAAGAACGTCAAAGTAACGATGAACTTCTGTCCAGACTTGCCACGCGTGCTTGCACTCAACAAGCTTTGGAAGAAGTGCATCGGAGATGGTAGAAAGAAGCCAGGTGCAGATGAGAGCATCCTGTTGCTCCCACTCAAGAAACACACTGTGAGATGCAGGATCTAAGGGAGTCGGTGGCAGAATCACCGGAACAGTAACAAAGCGTTGAAGACGATGGCCACGAACGACGCCATCAATTTGCTGCTTCCACTGTTTGAAATTCTTGTCGTCAAGCTTAACAGAAATTAGGTGAGAAAGCTTCACCTGAGAGGAAGGAAACAAAGGCTCCATGGATCGTAAAAAAAACTTAAGCTCTAGATACCATGATAGAATTAGGTATAAGAGAGAGAATTGAAAGAGAATCTCATTGTATTCTATATTGAACAGTGATACAAGAGGCTGCTATATATAGCAATGTAATCCTAACAAATAGCTGATAGAGTGTAACAAACTAACAGCTCAGCATAACAAAGCTGACAGCTCAGCACAACAGAATATAAAGATAAAATAAGGGCATGAATTGTAAACTACTCTATTAATCCTTGCCTTGTGAAATCTCAGGTGTCTAATGCTATCCTTCTAGCTGGTAAAGTTGGCTCAGATGGCCTCTACGAGTTTCCTCTGCTTGATGTTTCCAAGTCTGCCAAGTCTGCAGTTTCCACAAATAAACTTGTACCTAGTGTTAATACAACTAGTATTTCCCCTGCTTTGTCCAATGTATGGCACTTAAGACTAGGCCACCCCAATATTCACACTCTAAAACTAGTGTTGCAAAGCTGTAATATTCCATTCAATAATAAAGTTCATGAATATTTTTGTTCAGCTTGTTGTGTTGGTAAAGCCCATAGATTGCATTCACCATCTTCACACACCACTTACAATTATCCTCTTGAACTTGTCTATTGTGATCTTTGGGGCCCTTTCCCTCAACCCTCCACTCAAGGGTTTAATTATTACATGTCCTTTGTTGATGCCTTCTCCAAGTTTACTTGGATTTATTTACTTAAGTCCAAAGCTGAAGCTCTAAACACATTCAAACAGTTCAAAACTCTAGTTGAACTGCAACTTGGGCATCCACTTAAGGTTGTGCAATTAGATTGGGGTGGGGAGTTCAGACCATTCAGCAAGTTCCTCACTTACCTTGGAATACTGCAGAGTCATATGTCCTCACACACATCACCAAAATGGTGTTGTGGAGAGAAAACATAGGCACATTGTGGACCTGGGACTCACTCTCTTAAGCCAAACTTCCTTACCCCTATCCTACTGGGAATATGCCTTTTCCACGGCTGTCTATCTCATAAATAGACTTCCCTCCACTTCAATCAAATCTCAGGTTCCCTATTTTCTACTGTTTCACTCTATGCCTGATTACAAATTCCTGAAAGTTTTTGGCTGTGCATGTTTTCCATTGTTAAGACCCTATCATGCCCACAAATTAGAGTTCAGGTCTCAAGAGTGCTTGTTCTTGGGTTATTCTACTTTTCACAAGGGTTACAGGTGCCTATCTCCTTGTGGCAGAATTGTTTTCCAAGCCTGCTAGCCATACTGTCCCAACTTCTGCAAAGTCTCATTCTTCTTCTGATCTGCAGTCTTTGTTGCCTACATCTGGCTTGCCAAAACCTGTGCCTATTGCAATTGTTCCCTTTTCACCTGCACCTAATGTTGTGTCCCCTAACTCCTTCACACCATTTGATTCTCCTGTTTTGTCAACTCAGCCAGGTGCTTTTAGTGACACTGCTACAGAACCTGCTTCATCATCTTCTGCCATTGAGCATACTTCTATGATTACTTCTCCACAACCTCACTCACATGCATCCGCTTCTTCATCTGATGCAGCCTCAGAGTCCTCAGATTCTGTTCCTCCTAATGCTACACCTATTTCTCACAAGCCTATTATTAATCATCACTCTATGAAAACTAGAGCTAAATCTGGCTTTGCTCAACCAAGGTTGCAGCCTAAGTTGTTACTTACCCATACTGAACCCAACACTGTCAAACAAGCCCTTGCAGATGCCAAGTGGAAACGAGCTATGCAAACAGAATTTGATGCTCTATGCACAAACAAGACTTGGTCACTTGTTCCTCTTCCCCCCGACAGACAACCCATTGGGTGCAAGTGGGTTTTTCGCATCAAAGAGAATCCAGATGGAACTGTTAGCAGGTATAAGGCACGCCTTGTTGCTAAGGGCTTCCATCAGAAGCAGGGTTTTGATTTTAATGAGACATTCTCTCCAGTTGTTAAACCAATTACCATCAGGCTTATTCTCACTATTGCTCTCACTCAAAAGTGGTCCATCCAGCAGCTTGATGTTAACAATGCCTTTCTAAATGGCTTGTTAACTGAAGAGGTATATATGAAACAGCCTCCTAGCTTTGTTGCCTCCAATCCCTCCCTTGTTTGCAAACTGCACAAAGCCCTCTATGGCCTAAAGCAGGCGCCTAGGCAGTGGTTTGAAAGGCTGCAGTCTGCTCTTCTCAAACTCCAATTTAAACCCAGCAAGTGTGATCCCTCACACTTCATATTTGCTTCAACTGGCCATACTATCTACCTCCTGGTTTATGTTGATGATATAATCATCACTGGCAGTAATTCCTCCCTTCTAATGACATCATTGCTAAACTTAACTCTGCATTTTCTACACCTTGGTAACTTGGATTATTTTCTTGGTATTGAGGTGAAGGCCACTGCTCAAGGCTCCATGGTGTTAACTCAGACCAAGTATATTAGTGATCTGCTGCACAAAACCAATATGACTGACTCCAGTCCTGTTAATTCCCCCATGCAATCCACTTGCAAACTCACCAAAACTGGCTCCCCTGCCTTGACTGACCCATTCATGTACAGGTCCATTGTAAGGGCTCTTCAATATGCCACCATCACTAGACCTGACATAGCCTATGCTGTCAACAAAGGTCTGTCAATTCATGTCTCACCCTCTGGAAACTCGTTGGGTTGTAGTAAAAAGGATTCTCAGGTACCTTAAAGGTACCATTCAGCATGGATTGCATCTGTTTCCCCACTCACCTGCTCAACTGCCTTCTCTCAGGGTGTTTTGTGATGCTGACTGGGCCTCAGACCCAGATGACAGGAGAAGCACTTCTGGTGCTGCCATATATTTTAGGGGAAACTTGGTATCTTGGTGGTCCAAGAAACAACAAGCTGTTGCTAGATCCAGCACAGAAGCTGAGTACAGAAGTCTGGCTCAAGCCACAGCAGACCTTCTTTGGCTTCAAACTCTCCTGCATGAACTGTGTATTCCTACTCAGCAGCCTATTGTCCTTTGTGACAATCAATATGCGGTTCTGCTGACTCACAATCCCATAATGCATTCCAGGACTAAGCATATGGAGATTGACCTCTTCTTTGTCAGGGAAAAAGTTCTAGCCAAGCAGATTATTGTTGCTCATATTCCTGGTGTTGATCAAATAGCAGATATTCTTACCAAGCCCCTTCCTTCAACTAAATTCCTTAAGCTGACACAAACTCAGGGTTGCTAGCTCCCCATGAGTTTGTGGGGGTATTAGAATAACACTCATAGTGTAGAATAATTCTTTGTCAGCCTTTGTTATAACTGACAGCTGTCAGCTTACCCAATGTAGACCTGTTATTGCAGGTCACACAGTTTGCACCTATATAAGCAAACTGTGATCTCTCTTTGTAACTAACTTTTCATAAATCAAAATACAGTTATAACTAAAAATGAAAGTTCTGTTATTGGTTTCTATCACAATCAATCAAAATCGACCAACAATTTTCCTACCTGATGGGTGCGGCCGGTGACTGGTTCACATAAAACAATACTATGAGTACCATTGCTACTAATCCGAGTAAATTTTGTAGAGGAAACCTTCCCCTTTGCAGAGTCTCTGACCTTCATTATCAAACATATAAACACTTAGATTTATCAAATAAGACAACCTCCTGCCTTGCCACCACTTTGAATTTTAATCAACAGAATGTATTAACTTCATTTTTTTCTAACAATATTTAGTTCTTATCAGAACATCAGAGTAACCAATAAAATAGCCAACACGCATGTTGTTTTCTGTTGCTATATGCCCACTTAAATTTGATCATTTAGCAGTAACTTAAGAACCAATGGTGGTGGCAGTTCTATTTGTGTTTCTCATGATGCTATTCTTGTTGAATTGGAAGGAAGATATAATTGTCTTAAACTGTAATTTCAGTCACATTGCTCTGATTCAGAAATACTTTTCTGAATTGTGACAAGATCAGCAGTGAGTGCCACCACGACTTATGAGCAATTTATCCTCAAAAGTCTTGATTGATAAGTGAGTGGGCTGTATATGTGGACAATGCATAATCCATATAACTTGTGCTTAAATTTGATTTTACTGAATAATGGGCATATAATGGTCATAAAGACTTTTATAAAACATCACAAACAAACTATCCATAAGAGATAAGCTGTAATATAGAAACACGTGAATTATTTTTAAATTACATTTCTGATAGGTAATGATTGTGCAAAATTCTAGAAACTGGGGATCTATATCAAAAGGTATCTGAAAATTCACTTCAGCTGAACTTGAGTTAGAATCGTACTTACTACTGAATGGCAGACTCTAACCTTGATGCACTTAACATGAATGTTGAATGAGTTGGGTGTGTAAAGTGCCTCAATGAGCTTAAAAGGAACTACTATATCAATACTAAATAAATCACAATCTTTTTGATAAAGGCTTAGAATAAAAAATTTATAGGGTATCATTTATTTGAGCTTTTTTTACGCAAAGCATTTCCAATTAATTAAGTTTTCTCACTATTAAAATATGTTAGGTTGTTTTTATCTTAGGTAAGAAGAGAAAAGAAGAAAGCAATTGGAGAAGTTGAGATTCTGTTATTCTGTTTGTTAATCTTGAAGATTCAGAAAGCACTCTTTATATAGAGAGGCTTGGATCATAACAAACTAAAACTGCCCTAACAGAAAGTGACAGCTCAGCAAATATTCTAACAGAATAGTATAACAGAAAATGTAAACTAACTGCCTAACAATATGACAACACTATTAGTCCCCTTTAGAAGTTGAGGGTGATCTGGATAAGTCATTCTTGTTAAACACCTTCAACTTTCCACGCAGAGGAACAAACTTGGCAGCAGACAAAGGTTTGGTCAGAATGTCAGCCCACTGGTCTTGAGCTGGGACATGAGCCACTGAGACACTTTTGCTCAGAACTTTTTCCCTCACAAAAAAGATGTCCAGCTCCATGTGTTTAGTCCTATTATGGAGGATAGGATTATGGGCAAGTGTGACTGTACTTAAGTTGTCACATAAGATTTTTGGCACTTGAAAGGGACAATTAATTTCTTTGAGCAGAGACTGAACCCACAACAACTCAGCAGCCAACAGAGCCATACTACGATACTCAGCCTCAACACTGGATCTGGCCACCAGGTGCTGCTTCTTGGACCACCAGGAGATGACATTTGGGCCAAGAAAAACACAGGCGCCTGAAGTGAATTTTCTGTCATCAGGGTCAGATGCCCAGTCAGCATCACAAAACCCTAGTAACTGCATAGGTTGATGAACAGGGGCAGGTTGCAAGAGTAACCCATGCTGTATGGTGCCACTCAAATACCTTAGGATCCTTTTGACTGCCTTCCAATGTTCCTCCAGGGGATTGGACAGGAACTGACAGACTTTGTTGACAGAATAAGAAATTTCAGGCCTAGTTAATGTGGCATACTGCAAGGCACCCACAACAGATCTGAACTGAGTAGGATCCTCAACAAGAATAGAACCCACCTTTGATAATTTACTGGTAGAAGCCATGGGAGTGGGCATGGCATTAGCATTGAGCATATTTACTTTTGAAAGTAAATCAGTAAGATACTTTGTTTGAGAGAGAAGAATGGAACCATTAGGAAGGTGAGAAACCTGAATGCCTAGGAAGTAGTCAAGTTGTCCCAACTGTTTCAATGAGAATTTATCATTAAGAAGCTTGATCAAGGATGTGATAAAGGAAGCTGAATTTCCTGTAATGATATCATCAACATATACAAGAACCATGATCTGAAGTTTGCCTTGATGGAGCAGAAACAGGCTGGGATCACACCTACTAGCTTGAAAACCATGCTGAAGCAGGGCACTCTTGAGTTTGTCAAACCAGGCCCTAGGGGCCTGTTTTAACCCATAGATAGCTTTGTTCAACCTACATACTAGGGACCTGTCAGAGGCTGCAAACCCAGGGGGTTGTTGCATGAAAACTTCCTCCTCAAGAGTGCCATTTAGAAAGGCATTATTGACATCAATTTGCTGGATGATCCATTTGTTTGTGACAGCAATAGTAAGGATTGTTCTGACTGTGACAGGCTTAATGACTGGTGAAAAAGTCTCCTGAAAATCACTGCCAGGCCTCTGATGAAACCCTTTTGCAACTAATCTGGCCTTGTATCTGTTGACAGATCCATCAGGGTTTTCTTTGGTCCTGAAGACCCACTTGCAGCCAATTGGCTTTCTAGGATCAGGTGCTTTCACCAAAGTCCAGGTCTGATTTCTCATCAATGCCTGAAATTCTTCTTTCATTGCTTGGAACCAATGAGGAGTAGCCAAGGCTTGATCAATTGATGTTGGTTCCATGTGGGTTAAAAGCATTGTGGGATGGAGTTTAGGTAAGGTAATGCCACTTTTGGCTCTGGTTTGCATAGGATGCACATTGAGAGGATTGATAAAAGGGTGGTTAGAGGGAGAAGGGTTAGAGGAGCCAGTTTTAGAGGAAGAGGGAGAAATGGTAGATGCTTCAGCAGGGTCTGAAAGAATGAGGGCAGGAGAACAGGGAGGGGTGTGGTCAGCATTAGCTAGGACTGGTTGGTCATGAGTATGAGAAGCTGAAGCAGAACATGAAGGAATATGGGATGCAGTAGAACTGGAGTGAGAAGCTGAGATAGACTCAGACGGAGAGACCGAAGGAGAGACAGATTGATGATGTTCAGCCTGAGTAGGAGAAGGAGGATTAAGGGAAGGAGAGGATGTAGGCTGCTTGGATTCAGGGGATGAAATTATAGAAGGTAATGACCAGGAGGAAGCATTAGTAGAATTGAGATTTGTGTTGGAAATGGAAGATTGAGATGCAATGGGAAACAAGGACTGGTATGGGAATTTAGACTCGTGAAACACCACATCTTTGGAAATATAGATGTGGCCATCAGAAGCTAGGCACTTGTAACCTTTGTGAGTTGTAGTATAGCCAAGAAATAAGCACTCTTGGGACCTATAGGCTAACTTATGAACATTATAGGGACGAAGGAAGGGATAGCAAGAACAGCCAAAGACCTTAAGGTTTGAATAATCTGGGGGCTTATTAAGAAGTTTGAAATAAGGAGACAAATTGTCAATTGTGGGACTAGGTATTCTGTTAATAAGATAGGCAGCTGTGACAAAGGCATGGTCCCAAAATTTTAGAGGAAGAGTGGATTGGGCTAGAAGTGTGAGCCCTGTTTCAACTATATGCCTATGCTTACGTTCAACAAGGCCATTTTGATGATGAGTATGAGGACAGGTGAGCCTATGAACAATACCCAAATCATTTAGATATTTGGTGAGAGGCCTAAACTCTGCTCCACCATCACTCTGAACACATCTGATAGGACAATTGAATTGAAGTTCAACCATTTTCTTAAACTGAGTAAACTGGATAAAGGTATCAAATTTGAGTTTGAGAGGAAAGACCCAAACAAACCTAGAAAAGGCATCTACACAAGTGAGGAAGTATGTGTAACCACCTGTAGATGTTATAGGTGCAGGACCCCAAAGATCACAAACAACTAATTCAAAATGATGAGTGTAAACAGTGGTAGATAGGGTAGAGGGTAATCTGTGAGACTTGCCAAGGCAGCAAGCTTGACACAATTCTGTAGGTGGTTTGGGAAAATTGGGAAAGTTGCATAGTTTGAAAAACATCAACTAGAGAATGATGATTAGGGTGTCCCAATCTAGTATGCCAAAGAACATATTTACTTGTGGCTATGGAGGATGAACTATTAGAATGTGAAGAGGATACATGAGTATTGTAAGTAATGGAATTAAGAGAAGGAGTATGAGTAAAACTGCTCGTATTAATATGAAACTGATCAGGATTACAAAGAGTATTACAATGATTTATACAATTTGGTAAACAACTGATAACAGGAGTATTGTGTGTTGCAGATGAAAAAGACAAATTACAGCTAGCCCTGCAGTTTGGAGATTGGGCAGAACAAGAATTTGGAAAACTAGACTTGGATAGCTGAGTGGTAGGATTAGAGAACTTGTAAAGTCCATCATCTCCAACAGACCCACGAAGTAACACTTCAGAAGTAGCCTGAGATTTAACAACACAGAAATTAGGATGAAATTCAAAAAAGACATGATTATCTTGAGCAAATTTGCTCACACTCATTAAGTTTTTGGTTATGTTAGGAACAAGGAGCAGTTTCTAAGGGTAAGAGATAGGTTAGAAGTATGTGGCAAGTGAAAGGACATGGAACCAACAGAATTTATAGACAAACCTTAGCCATTTCCAATGAAAACTTGCTCAGTTCCTGGCAAAGAAACAGAGTCAGACAAATTAGAGGCATCAGGAGTAACATGATGAGAAGCCCCTGAATCAGGATACCACCATTGGTTATTAAAACCAGCTTTAGAACCTGCATAAAACGCCTGTGGTGCAGAAGATCTAGGAGGTGCACTACCTCTGGGAACAGAATAACCAAACTGAGCTGGAAACATAGGGCGTGATTGCATAAGGAAGGGATTATACGAAGCTCTTGGAGGTGGATATGCAGCACTGCTGGAATTAGAGTAACGATAGTAGCAGACAGACGCGTCATGTCCAGCTTTATGACAAATCTGACATTGCATTTTGCCAAAACGGCCTCCACCGCGTCCATAACGACCACCACCACGACAGGAACGAGCTCCACGAGATCCATAAGCGTGATTATCAGCATTGGCAGTCACGTGACTCGTACCTTGAGGGAAAGTGTCCGTCGGCGCTGGTTGATCAGAGGTAACCGGCAAGGACGACGGCGGCGCCTGAGTCAGATTCACCGTTGCCGGTTCAGTAACCACAGCCTTACGATGCTTCTCAAGGCGCGATTCATGCGCTAACAGTGACGACTCCAATTCATCTAAGAAACTCAATTCATCTTTGCTGTTGACAGCAGCAACAATTGGATCGTACTCTTCAGGCAAAGAATCAAGAACGATCTCGATTAGGTTACGTAACGGAACTGGATCCCCAATCGAAAGCAGAGAGTCGCTGATTTCGCGTGTACGCGCGATGAGTTCCGTAACAGTGCGAGTACCTTTCGTAAGCTGTCGGAGCTCCGATCGCAGTTTACGCGCTTTGGTTGTGAGGAGCGTATTGAAGTAGCGATGGATTTCAGTCCATACCTGCCACGAATGTCTGCACTCTACAAGCTTTGGGAGAAGCGAATCTGATACAGTAGAGAGGAGCCAAGTGCAGACAAGTGTGTCTTGTTGTTCCCACTCCAGGTACGCAGAATTCTCACCACATGGTGTAGTATCGGAATCGGACGGTGATCTCTGAGGAATCACCGGAACAGTAACAAACCGTTGAAGGCGATGACCGCGTACGACTCTGTCAATCTGTTGCTTCCATTGCTTGAAGTTCCTATCATCAAGCTTTACAAAGATCAAGTGAGAAAGCTTCACTTGCGAAGACGGAAACAAGGACTCCATGGATCGGAAAAAAATTACGCTCTAGATACCATGATAGAATTAGGTAAGAAGAGAAAAGAAGAAAGCAATTGGAGAAGTTGAGATTCTGTTATTTTGTTTGTTAATCTTGAAGATACAGAAAGCACTCTTTATATAGAGAGGCTTGGATCATAACAAACTAAAACTGCCCTAACAGAAAGTGACAGCTCAGCAAATATTCTAACAGAATAGTATAACAGAAAATGTAAACTAACTGCCTAACAATATGACAACACTATTAAACTGGATCCTAAAAAAAACTATATCATATGAGCAGCTCTTTCTGATTCACTAACAATAAGAATAATGTTACATTGTTTACATTTGTTCTTTATTTTTAGGAATTTGTAATGGAAAAAGTGAAAACAGCAAAATCTCTTGTTCACCATTTCTTGTACAAATACTTGAAAATGAAATTAAAATTAAAATAAAGTGAAATTTATAATTTTTAGTAAAAAAAAATATTTTCTTAAATCAAACAGACCAATGACTTACCTCTGCTGTGCTCCTTCCTTCTCGCGCATTATAGTCTATATTGGCATCAACAATTAGCTGAAAAGTAAAATCATAGTCACGAGGAGAATAGCATCTCAATTTTGACTCTGGTAGAACAGACCTTGATCATGTATAGCTAAAATCAACACATATCCCGCAAATGAGAGTTCTTTGAAATACTAAAATAACTAGACGTCTAAGATTAAAGTTTCAGTTAATCAGGGTCTGTTTAGTAGTTATTTTCTGTTTTCGTATTTCTGAAATATTACACAACAATATCCGTACACTACTTAAAACTCAAACCAAGTACTTTAAGAAGGTTTTAAGTTTTAACAAATGTTTTGAGAACAGCTATTCTCATTGTGGCAATATTGCAGTTAGTAACTTCAATCGATGATATTGTTATCCTGAACAATAGTGCTGCATTGATTTGGTCAGAGTAAAAATAAACACATGTACATGCCCAACCCAACCTATTGCTTCTTCAAATACAAAACTGCAATGTGCAGATATTTCTTGCATCCATCTTATTCACCCTCTCTCAAAATCTCTCTAAAGAACTTCGTAATTGAGTTATTTACGCAGAGGTTAACTCTTTTAGACCCAAAGTGATAAGCCTAAATGACTCTTTTAACAAGTTGAGCTATTTAAATATCAATAATACCCTTAATGATTCTCCAGAACAAGGATCATAGAAGTTATCAATAAGTAATATGCTCACTAACAAACAAAAAAGAAAACAAACAATCACACATTGTTATTGTTGATATTTGTAAATATATAGTGTTAAGAATAATTGTATGTAGAATAGTCTCACATCGATTATATCATGCAATTAGTTGTAATCTCTCTATATATAATAAAGTCTCTGTAGTGCTTTCAAAACACACGGTTTAACTTAAATGTCTCTTAGTCTCTCCTAATTCAATATGGTATCAGAGCCCACTAAGAGGTAATTCTTCGTCGTGCTTTACCCGGTTGACCCACTGTCTTCCGATGATAATTTTTTTTTGCAACCCGTGTCATCACTCCGGTTTGCCTCTCACTTTCCAAAATTCTCCAGTAACCATCGGACTGCTTCCGCCATCTGCCGCTACTAATTCCGACGACCTTCCAGCAAACTAACCCTACCGACAAAAGCGCCTCCTTCGATCCGGCCGGTTGTCCAATTGCGACCCTGGAGTCATGGGTTCGAACCCTGCTGGAAACAGCATCTCCGTTATAAAAAACAGGGGTGAGGCTGCGTACATATGACCCCCAAGAGCCCATAAAATGGGAGCCTCGTGCACTGGGTTACTCCTTTAACTTCTGTCAATGGTTCTCAAACCTGATCCGAAGAAATTAGTACTGTTCAAATTCTACCTTCTCTCTTTGTTACTTTTGTTCTCAATGTATCTAATTATCCATTTAATTTACTTTCAATCAGTCGTTTAACTCGTTCTCTTGAGTGTATTGTCATCTTCACTAATAATAATGTCACCCTGCAGAATCGGAGTTCGGGACGGACAATTGGCGTCGGATGTGAGTCTCAAGGCCTTTATTACCTCTCAGTGTCATCTCAGACATGCTCAGCCAAAGATTCTCCACTCACAATGCTCAGTTAGGTCATCCTAGTCTTCCCAAATTACAGAAGTTGGTGTCAAGTTTATCGAAAGTATTTTTGAGTCGTGTCAGTTAGGGAAACACACTCGTAATCAATTTCCCAATCGAGTCAATAAACGAGTTTCGTCCCCTTTTGTTTTAGTTCACTCTGATGTTTGGGGTCTCTCACGTACTATCTCTACTCTTGAGTCTATGTATTTTGTCACCTTTATTGATGATTTTTCACGTTGCACATGGTTACTTTTAATGAAAAATATATCAGAATTATTTTCTATTTTTAAAAAAAATTATAAAGAAATAAAAACTCAGTTTGGTGTGTATTCGTACCTTAAGAAGTGATAATGCTCGTGAATATTTATCCCAACAATTTCAAACTTTTATGTCCAGTAACGGTATTCCCCACCAAATATCTTGCCCTCATACACCTCAACAAAACGGGGTAACCGAACGTAAAAATCGGCATATTGTAGAAAACACTCGAACCCTACTTCTCCATGGTAATGTTTCACTTCGGTTTTGGGGGGACGTTATGCTAACGGCATGTTACCTTATAAATCGCATGTCATCATCTGTCCTTAACCATAAAATCCCTCATTCAATCTTCTTTTTTCCTCATTCCCCCATTCACCCAATTCCTTCCCGAGTCTTCGGTTCTACATGTTTTGTACACAATCTCTCTCCTGGTCTTAATAAACTATCAGCTCAATCACAAAAGAGTGCTTTTCTTGGTTATCATCGATCCCAAAAAGGTTATTGTTGTTATTCACATACCTTACAACGATACCTCATGTCGGCCGATGTCACCTTCTCTCCGAGTCTGTTCCATATTTCGAGCCCAGCCAAGTAACTCCAGAACCCCTTCAGGACAGTACTCCCACACCTCTTTCGGGAGTCCCATATGTCATTATCCCCCATCATTCTAGGGAACCTGACCCACTTGATATCCCTACGGTTGACCCCCCGACTTCTCGTTCACTTCAAACATATTAGTTTCGTCAACCAACGTCTGTCTTACCTGTCCCTGAGGTCGTACATGTCCCTGAGGTCATTGCAGACTCTCCTCTGACGCTCTCGCCATCACTGGATCTGATCCTGCAACCTGAGTCTGATCTTCCAATTGCCCTTCGAAAAGATATAAGTCAAACACGAAATCCTTCTCTACATTATATTGATTTATGCTATCGTCGTCTTTCCCCTTTGCAGTATACGTGTTTGTCTTCTTTGCCTTTTGTTTCTATTCCTAACAATCTAGGTGAAGCATTATCTCACCCTGAGTGGCGGCAAGCAATGATTGATGAAATGTGTGCTCTTCAAAACAGTGATACATGGGATCTGGTTCCTCTACCCCCTGGAAAATCTTTAGTAGGTTGTCGTTGGCTTTATACAGTGAAAGTTGGTCCAGATGGTAAGATTGATCAATTTAAGACTCGCTTGGTAGCCAAAGGATACACTCAGATTTTTGGGTTGGATTATAGTGATACCTTCTCGCCTGTAGCCAAGATGTCATCTGTTACACTTCTTCTAGCCATTGCAGCCATTTGACATTGGCCTCTTCATCAACTTGACATCAAAAATGCATTTTTACATGGTGATCTTGAAAAGGAAATATATATGGAGCAACCACTTAGGTTTGTTGCGCAGAGGAAGTCATCGAATATGGTTTGTAGGCTACACAGGTCTCTTTATGGTCTAAAGCAATCTCCGAGAGCTTGGTTTGGCAGATTCAGCATTGTACTACAACAATTTGGTATGGTCCGTAGTGAAGCTGACCATTCTGTCTTTTATCATCACTCAGTCCAAGGGTGTATTTATCTTATTGTGTATGTAGGTGATATTGTCATAACTGGTAGTGATGAGCAGAGAATATTCCAGTTGAAACATCTTTCGAATCAATTTCAGACAAAAGATCTTGGTAAACTCTGGTATTTCTTGGGTATTGAGGTAGCTCAATCTAAAGATGGTTTGGTGATTTCTCAGCGAAAATATGCTATGGATATTTTGGAAGAAACAGGTCCGTTGAACGCTAAACCAGTTGATACTCCTATGGATCCATTTGTCAAACTACTACCCAATCAGGGGGAGCCTCTATCAGACTCGGGAAGGTATAGGAGATTGGTTGGAAAGTTGAATTATCTCACAGTCACTCGTCCAGACATTTCTTTTGCAGTCAGTGTGGTAAGCCAATTCTTAAATTCCCCTTGTCGGGAACACATGGATGCTGTTATTCGGATTCTGAGATACATCAAATGTGATCCAGAAAAAGATTTAGTATATGAAGATAAAGGAGATACTCAGATAGTTGGATACTCTGATGCTGATTGGGCAGGGTCACCAATTGATAAACGATTCACCTCTGGGTATTGTGTACTTGTTGAAGGAAATCTTATATCCTGGAAAAGTAAGAAACAAAATGTAGTTGCAAGATCAAGCGTCGAGACAGAGTATAGGGTCATGGAAATGACAACATGTGAACTCATTTGGTTAAAACAATTGCTCAAAGAACTTCAAATTGAAGAAGCAAGACCAATGACACTTGTGTGTGATAATCAAGCTCCAATTTTCCATGAGAGGACCAAACATATTGAGATAGACTGTCACTTTCTCAGAGAGAAGATTGAATCTGGCGACATTGTCACAAACTTTGTCAACTCTAATGATCAATTGACAGATGTGTTTACAAAATCTCTGCAAAGTCTCAGAACTAATTATATATGTGGCAAACTTGATACGTTTGACTTATATGCTCCAACTTGAGAGGGAGTGTTGATATTTGTAAATATACAATGTTAAGAATATTTGTATGTAAAATAGTCCCACAACGATTATATTATGTAATTAGTTGTAATTTCTCTATATATAATAAAGTCTCCATAGTACTTTCAAAACACACGGTTTAAATTAAATTTCTCTTAGTCTCTCTTAATTCAATAGTTATCAATTATAAATACTTGCGGGGTTCACTTCTTCAGCATAATATTAATAGTAGCACAACTCATCCAAGGCTAAATAAAATACCTCATCCGCGGGAAATTCTCCAACTACTTTTGCAATATACTGCTTCTTGACTAAGCCAGCTTCAATCTGTAGCAATCCAATTCAACAGTTATAATGGTTGTATAGGGAAAACGATTTGAATGTTGGTATATTTATTGTAAATCAAACATGTTTTTTTGGAATCAATAAAATTAAACATATTATGTCAAAGCTATTAACTCATCAAGATATTAATAACACTTCTTCAAGAGAGGACTACTACACGGACACAGACTCAGTTGTGCTTGGCTTATAGAAGTTCTTTCTTCTTCTGTTTTAGGTAAGTTTAAGCTAGGGGATATTGATCCAATTGATATCAGAGACTTGTCCTCCAACACAAACCTTACCAATAGCTTGGTAATAGTAAGTTATAACCCAGACATTTGTTATTGCAGCCAAAGGGGATAAATTGAGTATACATGCTAATCACAACTTTTGGATTTAATACATGAGGAGATATTTGAACATAAGAAGCTCTTAATACAAATACCAGTACTCGGCCATAACCTTTTGTAAAACTAGATTCCAAGGGGAAAAAAACACATTTAAACTTGCAATATAGTCTTATCAAATTCAAGCAAAACTTGCTGGTTATGTTTGGTATATGCAAATTCAAGCAAATGAATATACCTCATAAGTCATATTTGTATGTTTCTGGTAAAATAATTTAATTAAAGAAATAATGAAAACTCCTGTATGTCAGAACATTTACTTACTAAAAATATTCATACTTAAAAAGGGAAGAAACCAGACAGCTCAAATGCTTTATGCAACATGAACTATGTAGCTGACAAAAGGTCATGTAAAATTAAATGATGCAAGAGAAACAAAAGAGTGAAGAAACAGACACAAGTCCAAGCTTAAACTCACCTCCTGCCTAAAACTGTCGGCTTTTGTAGCATTTCTGGCTATAATAAGGAGTCCAGAGACAAGGCGGTCCAGTCGATGGATAGCTGAGATAATCGTGTCAAGGAAAATTGCAAGTACAAAACCAATAAACTCTGGGAAATAAAACAAAAATCAATTACAGAATGGTAGTAAAAAATTGATTGACTCATTCAAAAATAAGTATGCAAAATATGCATGGGAGAAGCTATATTTTAAAGTAAATTTAGAATTGAAAACCTTATCAGAAATGACCCTCCTTTTTAGGATGAATAAATAATTTACTTCCAAAGTGAATTTTAGGATACGAAACAGAGGCCCCAGTCCATGCTCAGCTTGAAGGATGCCAACAACAGTGTTCTTACGATATTGACCACATGGATGAACCTATGTACCAGCTAAAACTCACAGCTTTAGTTCAATGTGTATAATGGTAAGCAAACTATCATTATGAAGCACCTAACATGACTATAAACTAACATTTTATCAAAATATCATCTAAATTGTTAAGAAATTGTTAGAAGAGGATCAGCACATTCTCTCTATTACTATGTATTACAGTTAAAATAAAAGCTTTATAACAGGGGCACTCGGCTAATCCACTTATCAAACTTACTTACAGGGACAGATGCTGGCTTACAAACAGTCAACACATCTGATTCTTTTTGAAGAATAGAAACCTCACAAGCCATAACAGGTGGTTCATGCCTGAATCCATAAGAGTAACAAAATCAGTTACAAATTCCATCACAGCCTCAGAAATAAAGCACCAAGTGTTTTTTCAAACCTGTGTAAAAAATGGCTTATCTTTTGAGATGATTTAACTACATACGAAACTGGCACCATTTCACCATCAACCTGAATCCTTCCACATTTCACCGCACTAACCTACAATCCGAACAAATAATCATATGACTGAGATTTTACAAAATACCAAATCACAATAATAACAACGGAAAATTTCTTACATAATATTCATAAGGTCGACCTTTAAACTCCTCAGCGAACAAATCTACAATGGTTTTCCCAGCCCATCGATTTTTTACCTGAAATTAACAAATTCAAGATTTCTAGGGTTTAACTAGGGTTTAACAATATAAATGAGATTTTAAAAACACGATGGAAAAATTAGCAAACGGAACTAACATGCGCGATGAATTCGAAGTAGTATGGTCTAACTAATCGAATCCCTGCAAAAATCGCATCAATAGAAAGGGGAAAATGAGGATTGTGTTGAATGATACGATTTCAATTTCGAACTTGTTAACGGAATGTGCGGAAACTCTGAAAGGTTTGATGTTTACCGTTTCGAAAGATGTAGTCTTGCGGGAGTGGGGGATTTGCTGGGGTTTGCCATACGATATCCATGCACTCGTTCTTCTCTTCTCTCTTCCTCTTCATCATCTTCACTCACGTAGTATAGTGCATAGAAAGATTGTGAAAACTTGGAAGGTAGTGTCTGTTAAAACGACGTGTCTTACTTTGTCGTTTGGGCCAGTTTTAAACTGATCGTCGTTTTATTGGCTGATGAGAAAATTTGTGTTACAGTTACACATGTGTCCCTGCACAAGGATCTTTAATTCACAGTTTATGTATTTATCACGGTGTCAGTGTACATTTGTAACATAAAATTCTTAGGATGTATAATAACTAGTCGGATACTCTTATGTGATGGGATATGTTTTTGAACAAAAGTGTAAAAATATAAAAAAAAGAAATTGTATAATACGAAGAAAAAAACATAGGAAAAAATATTTATTATTGGAAGAAAAGGAAAATAAATGAAATTTTGATAAATGAGACAGAAATTAAAAATTTGTATAACAGTGAAAATTAAAAAAACATATATATTTTGTGTAATAAAATTAAAAGGTGTTGAAGTGTAAAAAAAAAATCTATAATATAAAAATACAAATTATAATATAAGAGTAAAGAGAATAATATTAAAATAATTATGAAATATATTATAATATTTATGGTCGATCAATTTCTATTATTCAATATTTAGATGTGTAGTAAAGTTATTACTCTTTATATCTTTATAGAAGTAGTATTTTTTTCTTAATGTTTTCACATATGTGAATTAAAAAATATATATATGAATATATAAGTTAAACTATTTTTTGATAAAATACTACAAATATATAAGTTAAACTATTTTTTACGATAAAATAATTTTAATTATTTTTTCGTCAATATATGTTAAATATTTGAAATCATAATTTTATGTGTCAATGTCAAAATATTTTTGTGACACTCCGTACATATACGTCTAGAATAATATGTATTGATGTTATAAATGGTACATAGAAACATATACAAGTTTGAAATGACAAGAAATAAAAATCATATACAATTCAACTCTTCAGCTACAACTGTATACAACATACTTGTCTATAATAATGTACCGCGGAAAGATAAGATCTGATGAGGTTTTTCTGCCATCTGCTCATCCACAGTCTTCAATGCAACAACATCTAGCAATTCTTCACTTCTAACCTGTGTCTGAAAAATAATAATAAGATCGGGGTGAGATTACTAAATCTTAGTGAGTTCCCCTAATTTAAAGGGTTCACTCGATTCTACAAGTTACATGCAATCAAATGAAACCATTGTGGATCTGGGACTTTATCACGATCAGGTACAAAGATACACTACAATAGGTAGTATCTCCATCGGAAGTCCCTTGACTAACCAATGAGATAACATCAAGCACATAACCAAACACAAACAAGTATGTCGGCACATACCCGTGTACGAGGAATCCAGAAGTAAGTTATGTATTTCTACTTAGGTCACACAAACCACACCCTTGATGAGTAACCAAGTGTCTAGCATCAAATGACTTGCACTGGCACATTCGCAAGATGAATCGGATCATTCCTAAGTGGAATTTCATCTGTGACAAGTAAATCGAAGTGACATTGTCTATGTGACGTCACAATCTCGTTAATCACCCAAACGCGAATGTGTGATTGTTAGTGCAAATACACCATAATGACTGCACAAGCCCACAGGGCGAAAGCCTAGTGATGTTGCCTATGTGGCACCACTATAGGCGAGTAACTGAAGTGATATCGCCTACATAGCATCACAATATCACCATATCAAGCACGTCGATGTTTACCTGCTGGTGGAAACGCCTTTTCAGACCCGTTCAGCACGTCGCAATGGTAGCTCAAATGTGTATGATGTAACACCTCATTTCTACTCAACGAATTATATAAAATCAGAGTTACAAAATTTTTAACAAACAAATGGAATACTACAATTTCAATTTAAAACAACGACATTCATTACAGATACGTAACACATTAAACTTTGATGAACCAACAACAACATAAATTAATCTTTTAAAAACTAACAATTGTCATAACCACGCAATGGAATCATAATATTCAACATATAAGAATGTATCATCTTTATCCAACTGAAACAACTTCAAATAACAAGCATTCAACTAAAAATAACTTAAAGTTCAACAACTGAAATAATAACAACAATAAAACCACAAGTGTTCATCCCCCAGAGTGTTACGTATCAGAGCAATGACACCGACTTGAACTACTGAAGGTAAACCGCCTTCACTCTGGATTACCTGCACGTTACCAACATATGGGTAACATTCAAACGGAAGGGGTGAGATATCGAACCATATAATTGAGTGTATGATAAACAATATATTATATCATATTATATAAAATCATCATTTATAACTTTCAATCAATATCAATCATCACAAGTAAATAACACAATAACTTAAATATGCAACACAAAATGTGACTCGTTACAATGTATATGCATGTGGTACCATTGGAGCAGAACTCCCAACTTAAAAATCTGTCAATTAATAGAGGCGTCAACAAGGCATAAGCCTTCAACTTAATTTGTCAATCTAGGCCAACTTACCGAGCATCAATTCCAACTTGATATGCTATGTATGCGACACAATATGAATGTCAGAATAACGACAATAATAGTTACATAGCAACACAACAACAAATCAGCATTGGTCATGAGCCTACAACTTATATTTTGCCCATAAATAGAGGCAATTCAACAAAATACAACATCACCTGTAATTTCACATTTTTCAACAAAGACATCACCCAACGAATCAACCAAAATTTACTACAAATAAACCGCGTAATTATTCGGACTATTTCGACTAAAACCGGTTAATTAATTATCAGCCAAAAAGTTCTATTATTTCTATTTACAAAACTTCTACAAATTATTATACTATAATAATACATCATCATTATTATTAATACATCATGCGAAATCCTTCGTACATCGTTTATACAACACTGATACATTCAATCGCAACATTTTGCATTACAGCACATACAACATACGCACACATCAAAATTCTTCCAATAAAATATTAGTCTACTACCATCAAAATTATTACCACATTCTAGAAAATATTTTTAGCTTTCCGTAGGTTCAAACGGCGCGTCAAACAGACACCCGAGTCAAAAATTGTGGAGTTTTCAAAAATGTTGTCAAACACTCTTACGAATTTTATAAAGTGTAGTACGAAAACTCTTTTTTCTCAATTCCAAAAACACAAACTTCATGAAATAATACGCAATCAAACATCCAATTATCATTTCTATCAACATACATCAATTACCACATAATTCAAAACATCAATTCATCGATTATAGTCAATCTCAACGGATTAAATAAATAATATACACCAATTCATCATCATCAATCATCACACAAATAAACCACATACACATCAAATTTATACAAAGAGATTATAGAATTACATAACCTAACTCTATCATAACCCATCATCATACAGTCCCTTATAGAGTTAGAGTTCCACCTTTACCTTGGATTGAAGGTTGCTCTGTAACTCTACGATTGACCTAGCTTTGCCTCCTTTTTGCACTTCTATGAATCTCTTCCAAACCCTTATTTTCTCTTTTGCTAAAACCTATTTTTTTTCTCCTCTTACTGCTACTTCTACTTCTATTATTTCTAAATATCTATTAATATAATAATATTATTATTATATTATTCTTATTGGGCTTAAATTTCTACACTTCCCTTTCTACTACTTCTAACATTAAAATAGGCACACATAAATAATAATAATAGTATTATTCTAATATTATTTCTACAACTTAATCAAATAAATTAATTCAAATAATAACAACACAACTTAAATCAACATTCCACAACTTCGAAAATTTAATCAGAAAAATATTTGAAAATATTTAATTAAATATTGGCTGTTACAACTCTTCCCACTTAGAATATTTTCGTCCTCGAAAATTTATCTTGTTCGAACAACTCAGGATATCACTACAACATAAACAACGGTTAGAACTCAAGTTAACAATACTCGATTGTTAGACAAAATTACGACTCAACAACTTGGTCGGATGGACCGACTTGCTCTGATACCACTAATGTAATACCATATTTCTACTCAATGAATTATATAAAATCAGAGTTATAAAATTTCCAACAAACAAATGGAATGCTACAATTTCAACTTAAAACAACGACATTTATTACAGATACATAACACATTAAACTTGGATGAACCAACAACAACATAAATTAATCTTTTAAAAACTAACAACTATCGTAACCATGCAGTGGAATCATAATATTCAACATATAAGAATGTATCATCTTTATCCAACTGAAACAACTTCAAATAACAAGCATTCAACTAAAAATAACTTAAAGTTCAACAACTGAAATAATAACAACAATAAAGCCACAAATGTTCATCCCCCCGAGTGTTACGTATCAGAGCAATGACACCGATTCGAACTACTGAAAGTAAACCGCCTTCACTCTGGATTACCTGCACGTTACCAACATATGAGTAACATTCAAACAGAAGGGGTGAGATATCGAACCATATAATTGAGTGTATGATAAATAATATATTAGATCGGATTATATAAAATTACCATTCATAACTTTCAACCAATATCAATCATCACAAGTCAATAACAAAACAACTTAAATATGCAACACAGAATGCGACTCGTTACAATGCATATGCATGTGGTACCATTGGAGCAGAACTCCCAACTTAAAAATATGCCAATTAATAGAGGCGTCAACAAGGCATAAGCCTTCAACTTAATTTTCCAATCTAGGCATACTTACCGAGCATCAATTCCAACTTGATATGCTATGTATGCGACACAATATGAATGTCAGAATAACGACAATAATAGTTACATAGCAACACAACAACAAATCAGCATTGGTCATGAGCCTACAACTTATATTTTGCCCATAAATAGAGGCAATTCAACAAAATACAACATCACCTGTAATTTCACATTTTTCAACAAAGACATCACCCAACGAATCAACCAAAATTTACTACAAATAAACCGCGTAATTATTCGGACTATTTC